CATTCGGGTTTAGCTGTGGGGTTTGAAAGGGGCTTGCCATTGTCTGGGGCTGATTAAGTCGATGGTCAATGTAACCTCCTTATGTAAAAGACAAAAAATCGTTCTTTAACGTATCTAATTCGCTTTTAAATTTACTGATGTTTTCCATTTGTACTTCTTGCCACTGTTGTTGACTTTCCTGTAGTTGCTGCTGACTTTCCTGCAACTGTTGGAGACTTTCTAACTGTTTCCTTTCTTGTTCCAGTTGCCACTGCTGTAATTTTTCTTCTTGTTTGTTTTCTTTCTCCTCTAACAACTGCTGTAATTTCTCTTTTTATTTCTTTTCTTTTTCCTCCAACAACTGCTGTAATCTCTCTTGTTTATTTTGCTGTTCGAGCTGCCACTGTTGCAGGTTTTCTTGCAACTGCTGTTGTCTCTCTTCTTGTTTCTTTTCTTTTTCCTCTAACAACTGTTGTAATCTCTCTTCTTGTTTAATTTCTCGTTCTTCTTGTTTCTTTTCTTTTTCCTCTAACAACTGCTGTAATTTCTTTTCTTGTTTATTTTCTTTCTCCTCCAACAACTGCTGAAGAACGAGAAAAGAAACAAGAAGAGAGATTACTTGTTTCTTTTCTTTTTCCTCCAACAACTGCTGTAATCTCTCTTGTTTATTTTGCTGTTCGAGCTGCCACTGTTGCAGGTTTTCTTGCAACTGCTGTTGTCTCTCTTCTTGTTTCTTTTCTTTTTCCTCTAACAACTGTTGTAATTTCTCTTCTCGTTCTTCTTGTTTATTTTCTCGCTCTTCTTGTTTCTTTTGTTGTTCTTGTATTGATGCCATCAAATCTGCTAAGCTGTAGTTTGATTTTCCGCCTCTCGTTTCCATCTTCTTCTTCTTTTTTTTCTTTTTCTTATTTTCTATCCCACTTCTGCCACCAATTTGTTACGTCTCTGTATGTTTGTTTGTTAATTATTCTAAGATACAAGTCCTTTCTTTATAAAACTTGTTTATTCTTCCTCAATACAACTTTGTAATGTACTTAATTTTCACAGTTACACACACTATAGTTCACAACAATTCACTCACTTTCTATCGTGCTTAGCCTTAATTGTCCGTCCCCGCAAACTGTAGTTCCGATCTCTGTGTCTGCTATCCTCAGTTCCCGCCAACCCTAATCGCCGTCTTTCTTTCTCTCTGCCTGCTTCGTCTCCGCTACGTCTCTGCCTCGTCTGTCTCCACTAGTGCTTCGAGTCCGTCTGTCTCTCTCACTGTCTAGTGCACTTATATACGATAATACTGCCTGTTCTAGAAACTTCTAAGACTCTCAACACGTGCTACCAGCGTCAATTGACTCCCGCTGTCGCAACACACTAGCGAATCTTCTAGAATATTCGTCACGTGACCCCGCTGTCGTAACACACTAGCGAATCTTCTAGAATACTCGTCACGTGACCCCCACTTAACAATACCTTAGTTCCTTGGAAATTATCATTTTTACGAATAGCTTTCCAATACAAAAGAATTGCAGAATAACAATATTCGCTGTACTTCAGTAAAAGGAATTGGATATTATTTGCAGAGTCAGTTCTATGCATTGCCTGTGGATATTTCAATGAGAATTACCTTTTGTATGATTGAACTTTCCAGAATCTCAATGGTACTAGAAAAGTGTCATGATGATATTCTTTAAACACTTGTAAATCTTTATTTATCTTTTTTGTGACAGTTTTTTATAATAAAAAAGCGCCTTTATAATTTACACATTATATCTTTGTACATTCTGAGCCCCCTCCCCCCAGTGGCATGTCTGTGGACTTCTGTGCTAGAAACCGGGTTTCGATACCCTTGGTGGGCAGAACACAGGTAGCCCATTGTGTAGCTTTGTGCTTAATTACAAACAAAAACTAAATTCTGATGGGAAAGAATTTGTTTTTCAAGGACCAATAAAACCAGTAATTGCTGGAAAGTATATATTCTACTATGTCTAGGAGCGGATAACACCGTATCTTTTTTCATTTCGGGTTTTACTCAGTCTCATCTTTGGCAATCGGAAACTTTTGCTAGATTACTGTACACGAAAAAAATATATAAAAAAATAGGATAACGTGACTGTTTGACTATGAATTGTAATAGTTATTTCATAGTTCTGTTGTATTGTTAGTATTGCTTGTGAAAATTCTTCTTTTGATTCAATAAATCGAAGAGAAAAACGATATATTCCTAAAGAACAACGCTCATCGAGGTAGTAATACTAACACTAACATTGAATGAGTAACACCTAAGTTAATACTAATACTAGTTCAACTAGTTGTAATAGCTATTATTACTATTAGTATTACTAATGGGTCCAGCAACTTAAGTTGTAGTGTTATGCGATAGTTAGGCTTTTGATATAACACTTAGAATTATAAGTTAAATAACGACGATAGTGATACAATGATAGTGATACTCTCATTGGAGTGGAGATTCAGTTGACTGTTCATTTTTTCATAAGTTTTTACTACATATTGTGCACATTGCAGTTGTTGTTGATATAATAATAATGAGAGTCATATCTCAAATTGTATTTTTAGTGAGTGAAAGATATTTCATTTTTAAAAAAAGATTGGATAATCTAACTTGGAAACTTCTAATAGAGCTTGAACAGGTTTATGTAAAAAACTTAAATCAATCGACGGTCTTGAAAAAATGTCTTGGGTTCTAGCCAAAAGCTTTTAGATTTAATCTAAATGGATAAATGAGCAAATGGATAAATTAGTAGAAAAATTAAAAATGTGTTTGAACTGCCCTAATAAAGCCATTTAGTTCATCTGTAAACATTCTTCAGCTTGCTTAGAATAGATCCCATCACATGTAAAAATCTCTTTTGTATCCACAGATCTAACATGAAATATGAAAGAATGGTCAATAAATTACTTAAAGTGCTGATGATATTAAGGTCTTTGGTGTCGCTGGCTTTGAGTTTTTTTTTGTTTTTTTTAATAGTTTCAGTTTAGTTTAGTGGATGGGACAGCCTTATTGTCCCTAAATATCATGCTAATCCAAACTTATATCTCCACTAATTTTTCATTTATTCCTTACACCCTTCTTCAACTTTCTGGTCCTCAACTTCTCTTGGGGAAGCACTCCTGAATGAATTATTTATAGAGCTTCATAGTAGTTCTTTTTATCTGGTTAATACATTAACTCTTCATTTTTCCCATTTCTGACATTATTATCGTCTTGTATTACATGAAATACTGAGCATCTTCACAAATTATTACCATTAAATTTTCTTCCATTTTTACATCATCCTGAATTTAAGCACTAACTAAACAAATGTTAATCCTAACTTTTCTGAATGCCTTACCGAAACCAAATCTTTTCAGTATACTTAGAGCATCTTCTGCTACAGATATATTGGGAACCTTTCCTTCCCCACTGTTATCTACAAAGATATGTTCAAATGTGTTTGATACAATTATCTGCATCTTACTTAGTAGACGTGTTTCCTTATTTCTAAATTTAAACATACAGTATATACTAAAAACAAGAATATTGTTAGTATCAATCTAACCAACATCTTAATGTCATCAGAAAAGTTAATGTACTAGTAGTTCAGTTAATGTAGATATTCAAGCATTGATATAAATAATGAAAAACAAATCCAAATGTGGACCTTTGGAGAAATCCAATTGTGACATCTTTGCATCAAATTATTTATCATCATTTTCTGCTTTCTACCACAAAACCTTTTTTTTTTGCCTATTTTTCCACTAATACCATAAAAACATTTCTAAATATCGAGAAACATAAACTGAAATGCTCTAATCCAAAAAAGCAGAAACTTTATTAAAAAAATTAATTTTTGAAATGTAAGAGTTAATAAGCATAAGCTTTGGAAATCCAGGTATAATTTTTGTTTTTATATTTTAAACTAAAACTAGATCTCTGGTAAAATTATATACTTGTATAATAGTTTACCTGATGAGCTTCAGTTTAAGCTTAGTGAAATGTTTCTTGCATCTGTACATGTACATTAGATTTCCAAAGCTGTATTTAGTTTTGCTAAGCAGTATTTGTGATTATTTGAAAAGTAGTGTTAATGATTCTGTCACCTTAATCAGTTGCATTTTCTTTTTTTTTTCAGAATCTTAACATAAGTGAACTGTGAGTGAAAACTGAAAATCTAGCAGTTTTGTGGATGACCACTTGACACAATCCTTTATACATGAAACACCAACCTATAATAAATGGCCAACAGCAGTAAATCAGAAGATATTTCAAAATCCTTATGGATGGCACTGTACAGTCCCATTGTTCAACCTTCTAATATTAATACTCGAGAAAGGCCTGTTTGGTTGTCACTTATTGCTTTATTTTTCAACCCCAAAGTTCTCTATAAAGCTCTTCACTTGACAGTTGCATTATGTGTGATGACAAAATTCAAGAGATTGGGATTTTTTTGGATAATGTTGTCAGTGGCATTGGGATAATAAATACGGAGAACTCTCATTTTTGATTTGCTGAGCAGATGTATATTAAATGGTGTTTGATCTTTTTTTGCACATCATTTTAATAACTTTAAGTTCTAAAAAAACTTCTCATAATACAATTAATTATACTTGATGAACAAAGCTGTGCCATGCTTTCATGCAAACAGTGTTACAGTGGTGTGAAGACATTACTAAGATTCTTTCCACACTCATCAGTGTTTACATTTCCTATCAACTGTACAAACAGCTTCTATAATCCTTCTCTGACTAGCATTAGTGTGAGACATTGGACAAAAGATTCAAGGAAGTTTAAAGTTTCAGTGGTGCAGACCCAACAAAAGATTCAGCACATGAAATGGATGTACAACAGACATATATTTAATTTTGGAAATAATAAAAGAGAATTACTAAATTCTAAAGCAACCCAACCCTGGTATTTTATCTTAAAACAGAAAGTACCAAACAGCACTGCGAACTTTGTGCAACATTTTCACACTTCTCCTAAACATGACATTCATCCAGCACTATGGATGTTTATCAAACCATTTGCTAAAGGAATGGCCATTTTGACTGGCAGGTACAGTAAATGTAAAACTTTTTTCGTCACATTATGGAGTGTTCATGAAGTTTACGCCAATTGGAAAATGATGATATGATATTTGCATGTTATCTGTTATATAAAGAAGTGGTTATGCTATATATTTTTTTCTGGATCATTTATAACTTGTGTTTATGATTTTGGTTTAATAATTTCACTGATTAGAGAAAATTAAAATTTGTTACACTACATTAATTTGTAAATACAAATTTTTGTAACTGATGCTTTGTATATTATCTCTCAGACTTCTTTCCAAAGCTTCAGATTAGTACTAGCAGCAAGATTTAAAAAATTTTAAATATGGATATAAGTAAGTATAATGAATAGATGTGTCAATGAGACAAACTACTAATTTGCTGGAAATGTGTATTTTAAACTATGGAGTTATTTACAAAAATGTACAAAATATCTGATGTGATACTTATATATTGCAAATTATAATCTGTTTATTGATAATTGAAAGTTTTTCTAGTCAGTAGTATAAAAAACAGGTTATATACTTTTAATATTTATCATTTTTATTTTAGGGGATTTAGAAAATGGTGGAAAGATTTACCAAAACACAAAAGGTTATATTTTCTTTCAGTGCTGAAAACAAATCGTGTAAAAATAGGAGGTATGTATACAAGGCAAAAATGATATCCTTGCACATGTTTGCTTCTTTTTGAATTTTTTTTATCCCTAAAAAATGCTGGCACTGTATTGTTTTTCTTCATTTATCAGATACATGACATACTGTAAAAATAATGTGCAGAGCTGTGAACATATAAACATGACTACTGAAGGTAGGATTAATGTAGCATTAAATAGAGGTTTCTCGCCTCATATTAGTGATAGAGGAAATTTAACAAACTAAATGTTGAACAAAAAATAAACTAACATCAACATTTGGTAAAATAGATAAAAAAGAAATGTTTTTACCATATATCCCAATGAAAAGTATAAAATCTATATATAATTTTATGAATTACAAAGTATTATTTATTACAAACAGTTTCATGTATTTTATAACATTTGTGTGTTATTACTTTGTCTTTAGTATGTAATCAGAGTTTAGAATAAATGAACATAAGAAAAATGTTAAAAAGTGAAAACTCTGCATTAGCTGAACATGTAAATTATACTGGACATATGTAGTGGGAAAAAATTATTTTGGCTCAACCAATTAATATGACTGTTAGAAATATCAGAGAAACTTTTGAAATAATGGAACACAGCAAAAACAACTTGATTTTAAATAAGGATGAAGGGTTAAAAAATAAAGTATATAGATGGTGTGATCTTTTTTATTATTTGTAAACTAGTCACATGACCATGGCTTTTGAACTTATATAGCACAAAGTAACTGTTTTTCACACTCCAGAAGATGATGTGAAACCATGTTGAAACATTTATAGTGCCTTTTATAACCATTGATCAGTTTAAATAAAGATTTTAATTGTGAATGATAAAACATTGTTCTTTTGTGGGTTTTTAATATTTTGAATGAATATGTCAAGTTTGAAAGAGAAATCTCAGCTACATGATATCTGATTTAGAAATGTGAGCTGAAGAGAAGCTTATAGGTTTGGATTTGTTTTCTCTGAAGTATAGAAGTACTTGTAAAAGTGCTTTGAATCAGCATGAAGGTGGCGGGGTTTGGATAGTCTTGTTGTGGATTGTTTACATGAGTAATAGAATGACAAGAGTAAAAATGCTAATTTACATATATCGATAATAAGTTTAAATTGAGACTTGTTCTTTAACAAAGTTATCTCTTTCTTTTAGCTATACATTTTTGGATAGTTTTTCCTGATAACAATAGGTATATAGATGTAAGAAGCTACCATTATTTTGTTTTTTCTGATGCTTTGTTTGATAGTTTCGTGAGTAGAGGCATGACCTTTTATGGACAAATGACATTTTGTCACCTTGATCACTTGTGTATTTTTATGTATTACCAGATTACCTTGTCAAAGTTCCCAGTTTGTGTAAAATCTTCAGCCAATAACATCTATAAAAACCAAGACTAAACAAATAACTAATTTTTAGAAACACAAAAAAAATCTAGCATATATAAAAAAAAAACGTTTCTGATATACAGACAGCTTTCTTGCTACGAGATGAGAACTTTGTTGTTACACCAATCAATTTACTGCTAGTTTTGTTTTTCCCCAATTGGTTAAAAAAAAATTGGAAAGTTTAAAAGGTGATAAAGCTCTTGGGCCAGATAATATTTCCCCAAGGATTTTGAAGGAAGTTGAAGATTGGATATGTGAGCCACTTGCTACTATTTTTTTTGTCAGTTCTTGAATAGTAGGCAGGTACCAGAAGATTGGAAGTTAGCTACTGTAACTCTTCTTTTCAAGGGAGGTGATAAAAATTGTCACAGTAATTATAGACCCATTAGTCTTACTTCAGTTGTGGGGAAAAATTTGGAAAAGTCTGTTAAACGATGCTTTGCAAAGTCATTTAATAATGTTTAGAATTTTTATTGGATAGTCAACATGGTTTCACTAAGGGAAAGTCTTGCCTTACAAATCTTTTAACATTCTTTGAAAAGGTAACTGCTTATGTAGATGAGAGTAAGGGTGTAGATTTG